AAGGACGCTGGGCCCCGAAGGGGGTGGATTGGGGGGGAAACCGCTACAACATCAACAATTCCATGAGCTGGGGCTTCTTTTGCTGACATAAAAGCATCCCTTTCCATATTTTCGGATACAACCCATAAGGGTTTGCCTGTTCTTTGTACATAAACCTTTGTGATGGTTTCGCGCAGCGTCAGTAGTTCTCCCTCTTCCAGGATCAATTCTTCTGTTTGTCCCTCATAAAAAGAACTAGCAGGTTGATGGATCACTGATGATTTAATAAATGGTTTTCTCTATCTCGCATGATCATGATGAGTCAAAGAGAATAAAAAAGATAGGATTAACAACCGTACTGGCATTCTTTGTGCAGTGCATACGGCTCCACAAAATGGGGGGGATCCCACATTGATTGAAGAAGGAAATGAGGGCTAGCGAGGATGCTGGACCCTGAAGGGGGTGAATCATGAGATTCCACATCGGTTGAGGAGGAGAATGAAACATTCTTTATAAGATGTGGAAATCTCTCCTTAGCAGACGCGTTTTAAAAACCTTGAGGGGAAGCTCGAAAGGAAAGTCCAAAAAGGACAATATTTGCTAGCGATGGGCTTGAGCTCTTACAGACCCTTAGCTGGATGAAGATCACATTAGCCTTCATGCACTTTAAGATGGGAAATTCACTGTTAGTATCTTAACAACTTTTCGCGTAAATTTATTGAGGTCGTCTTTCAAACATTGGTTTTTCAGGATTGTGTACTTCCACTGCTGCTATTATTTGATATATTTGCCTAATAAGTTATAATGCTAAATCTTATTTTCCATAACCACAAGATTCGGCAATATCAGTTTTGCGTCGGTTCTGAAGACTAACCCCCTGCATTTGCATGCAGCTTGCATGTAATGCACATACCATATGTGACAGTGAACTTAGGCCCTTGGGTACTGGACTATATCCTGTAATCTCCATTATAAATCATAGGTAACTCCTCACACGACATGTTCGATGTTTACATTCATTGCTTCGTCATAATAATTCTTTTGATAAGAAACTTCATCATAATAATCAACTAAGTCACTATGTGGTTTTGGTACTTAGCTGCTTGCCCAATGCTGTTTTGGTATTTGAGGGAAGATCTGCTGTGGTCCGTGCAGTGCAACATATACCCGCAGGTGCTGAGGTATCCCTTCTGTCTATATACATTTTTTCCCCCTAGTTCTCTAGGTTCTAGTGATGTGGATCATTTGTATCATAGCTGATATGGAACTCTTGGGATTTGATCTAAAAAACCTTCTTAAAGAACTAGATCTCCAGATTAAAATTATCCAAGAACTCCAAAGGCGATAAGAAATCAACCCAAGGGAAAGTTTAAGAAACATATTAACTTGATGATCAAGATCAAGAGTAAATAAAACTCGTGATTCAAATCACTCCACAAGATAGTTTGATCAAGACTACTTGAATAACTCTATCGTGCAAATCTAAACACAAGAAATGCAAAAGAATAAGCTCATGGCTGAAGAAGCATAATATGCAACTTTCATTATAATATCCAAAATCTTCATACTAAAGGAATAACGTGAATGACTATTTATAGCCTTGAAAATAAACTTTATAGTAACGTATGGTTAATTGAAAGGTCGTGACTTTCATGGCCATCAATATCATAACGACCACTAGCTAATTGTAACTTATAAGTCTTAAAGACACTTCTCTAAAACTTAAAAAATATAATAGAACCTCCTTAAATCTAAATAACATATATGTATCTTGTCATCCATTGAATGATTAATATACCTTATTTATTTCGTATCAGTAGCTCTATTTTAAAGTTGTTTAGTCTGTGTTGTTTTATGATTTATATTCCCCAGTTCCCGGTCTAATCATATCTATCCGGTGATAATTCATTAGGTGTCGATCAGTTACATTGAAACTGCTGGAAGCACTATGACTCGGCAGAAAGCTCTTAAAGAAAACTACTTATTCACTTGCACATGCTCTCGATGCGTTAAAGTTGTAACCAATAATTGCATCTCTCAGATGTATTTCATCCTTGATTTGAACCGCATTATGTTTGATCTAAATGATTAAGAATTTCTATTTGTTTGATCATTTTCCTCCCTTCAAAAAATTAAAGGATCAAGAAGATGAAATCAAAGAAAGTGCAATTTTGGAAGGATACAGGTGCAAAAATGACCAATGTGATGGTTTCCTGCTTCGTAATTCTGGTACGTGATATTTCACTGTTCGGCCAGTAACCGAGAACGTGCTATTATTTCAAACTTTGTTTTCTTTTTCTGCAGATGACACTGGATTCACATGCCAACAATGTGGGCTTGTTCGAAATAAGGAAGAGATAAAAAATATTGCTAGTCAAATAAAATCAATATCAGATGAAGCTTCTACTTCTATGTTTCACCAAAGTATCCTTTTATGTTTGACTATAAATCATTAATGGTCGTCGGGTTTTTGTCACCGATAAAATATTTTGGAACATAGGTGTTCTCTTTGATCTGAATAAGCTCGGTCTGGTCTTTATTGCATTCGGTTTCATCTTTAACCAAACTCAGATTGTGGAGAAGCTTTATTTATGTATGAAAAAACTGAGGAACTCCAAAAAATATTATGCCATCCTTATTCCATTAGTTTGATGCAAACTCGAGAAAAGCTTCTCAAGGTAGGTTAAGAATGCTTATTATAATTGCTTACCTATGTTTATAATTATTTGTGTATCATACCTCTGATGTTTCTTGCAGATTTCGATGGAGCTAGAGAATTGGACAAAAGCTCTACTATACTGTAAACTGACAATTTCAGTTTATCAAAGTATGTCTGTTTTTTTTTTGTTTTTTTTATTATTATTATTCTAGTAAATTAATTGCTTTTGGATAAAAAGTGGATCATCTGCTTGGTACAACTGCAAATTTTAGTTTGAGAGATGACCAGGTTTAATGTCTCTTTGTGGGCTTGGTCACTAAACCTAAACCTTTTTATGAGTATGAGCTAGGTAAACTGGCTCGAACACCTATGTTGGATGAAGGGTAAACGTGGAGGTGAGAATGCATTTTAAGAAAGAGTTATCATTTACAGTCCAAGCCCACCGTTAGCAGATATCGTCTTCTTTGGGCTTTCCCTTCTGGGCTTCCCTTCAAAGTTTTAAAATACATCTGTTTGGTAGAGGTTTCCACACCCTTATAAGGAATGTTTCGTTTCCCTCTCCAACTGATGTGAGATCTAATGGTGGGCTTGGGCTGTTACAAAACCCAAATAGGACAATATCTGCTAGCGGTGGGGTTGGGTTGCTACAAATGGTATCAGAGCCAGACACTGGGGGGTGTGCCAATGAGGACACGGGGCCCTATGGGGGGTGGATTATGAGGTCCCACATTGGTTGGAGAGGGGAACAAAGGATTTCTTATAAGGGTGTGGAAAACTCTCCCTAGCATACGCGTTTTAAAACCTTGAAGGGAAAACCTACAAATGACAATATCTGCTAGCGGTGGGCTTGGACTGTTGCAATGTTATTTCAAGATGGTCCCAGAGAGTGCTCCTCGTATACTGTTACAAACTTGTAGTTTTACTTGTGCTTGATTGACTATGTCTGATCTTATGCAATGAATCCACAGTTCAATAGTTTATAAAATATCTTGTAAGAAAGATCTCTTTGATTGCAGAACTATACCCTGGGATCCATCCATTGCTTGGATTGCAGTTCTATACTTGTGGGAAATTGGAATGGTTAGTATTGCACCAAGATACTGTATCATCTTCTATTCCTTCCCTTTTTTACAGCCAGAAAACACTGAGAATAGCAGAAAATATTGGAGGATTTTTTAAGGAAAATGCTGTAAGAGCTGGCTTCTTTTCAAGAATTGGGAAATTCTTACATTTGACTTATCAAATATGTGATGCCATTCAATTTGCAGGCTACTTGGGTATACAGAGGATGCTGTAAAATCGTATACCGAGGCATTCGATATACTGCGAATTACTCATGGAACTAATTCAAGTTTCATGAAGGACCTGCTGTTAAAGTTGGAAGAAGCTCGTGCTGAAGCTTCTTATAAACACTCGTCTATGGAGGACGAGTAGACCTGCCATTACTTTTAAGGGGTAAGTTCATATCCATCCTTCATATAGAACCCTTCTTGGCTGCATCTCTCTGTGCTTAATATGAACTTGATCGTTAATGGCTGCCTATGGTTAAGACATGTTGGTGAAATGGCCTGTTCATAACACTAAAAACTACCTTCTTTCTTGTGTAGAAATTAATAACTTGATCACAACAAAATAATTTAAGACATGTTTACAAAATATTTAGGAGAATTGCATCATATAAACTACAAAATATGTGGTTGTTTTGGTTTTCTTGCAGGTGAACACTTCTCGAAATACCTTCCGGTTTCGGGTTCGAGATTTGCAGAGAAAGATTTTGACTCGACAGAACTAACTTTTTTTTAAATAGACAGAAGCATCGCTGTTCTTTTGTTGTTATTTTATTTATAAATAGATTTCATTTTCTTGTTTTGCCAAATGTAAGTTCATCATGTTTGACTATTACAATGCAAAGGTTGAAAGGAACCGGCCTCACTTTTAGAATAGAGATGATGTTGAGGATTGTTGGAAGAAGAGTCTCACATCCCTCAATTAAAGGGTTGATCATGAGTTTATAAATAAGGAATACATCTACATTGGTACGAAGTTTTTTCAATGAAGCTTTTTAAGGAAATCGAAAAACAAAACCATGAAAGGTTATGCTCAAAGTGAACAATTTGTATCATTGTGGATGTCCGTAGTACTTAACATATGAGTCTTACGTAAACACCTTTACCCTTCATGGAAAAATGACTTGCTACTTGGTTCAACCTGAAAAACGTCAATTTAGCACCAAGAATTAGAAAAAACATTCTTCACAAGATTAAACAAGAGATCTCGATCTCAATCCCTATTGGGAAACTTGCGGATACTTATAGCCAGCTATATGCATGGTTTCTTTCTCAACATAAATGGCAAGCTCTCGAACATAACCACAAACATATTTACATCGTCAAAGCTCTCGAACAATTTATATTGTAAACTAATATTGGCAAATGCTACAGGCAATAAGTTGATCATCCAGCATCCGATAAGTAAATTAGTTGCTCTAGTGCACCGAACCTGGAGAGGCAAAAGCAACATCTACTAAGGAGAAGCCTCATATTCTATCCATCACCAGCTACTCAAAGATCGAATCCCACGTTTCATGCTGAAGATAACTCGAAACCACTCCTTGAACGAGAAACAAAAGCAGGACTTTCACCTTTCATCCTTCTGTGATGCCACATCCTTGTAGAGCAGAAAATAGTTCTTTGACGATTTGGAAAACAGCTCACTTTGATTGTCTTTAGAAGTTATTAACAGAGATGTAATCGGCTGCACAGAGTTGAGGAGAAGTTGAAGCTGAGAACGCAGAGACGAAGCTTCCTGATCACCTTCACAAGATTCGGCAATAAGTTGCAGAAGTTTGGAACTCTGGTCTTGAGATAAGGATAGGTGTGGGGAGACTGGGGGTACGAGGAAAGGATGTTGAAGTAACTGAGGAATTCTCCACCTCTCATGGCGGTCCCATGCAAGGCACTTCTTCATAAGATCAAGAAGCCAATGGTTGCCAACGGGTTCATATTTAATCTTATGATTTGGGTCTGTAGTGACTTTAAACTTCGACCAGAATGTCTTATACTCGGAGAAGGGGGTCCTTCCATAAACCATTTGATAAAGAATGCAGCCAAGGGACCAAATATCAGATGATCGACCACACTTGATGGTGTTTCCATTTGCATCTTTCTCATTGCACATAAATGCCTCGGGTGACATGTAACTCAGTGTACCCACCTGTGATATGTAAAAATTCAATATCCAATCATCACAAATATGAACAAAAAGTGATACACCTTTGCATTATTGCACATTGGAATATTCTGTACCAGGTACATCCGCCATGTATAAACAAAAGCAAGGGAGAGCATCAAATGATATTCACCTGTGAATCCCTTTGGATATGAGTAGTATCACTCATTATGGCTTTTGCAATACCAAAGTCAATTAGTTTTAACGAGCCTTTGACGAGAAGGAAATTTGCGGGCTTCAAATCAGAGTGAACAATGCGTTCCTCGTGTATGGTGTTTACAGCTTGAAGAATTTGCTGCCATGTATAAAGACATTTACTATGAAACAATCAATCTATAAGGAGAGCACGAAAATGTTGCAAATGATGGAAACAAATGAGAAATTGTACAGGTACAGTGAGGATTCTTTGTTCACGAAACCAATCAAAACAATCCACATGCACAAAATCTTATACTAACAAAATCTAAAATTACAAAGCACGTGGATGATTCAACTTCTATCACAGCTAAACATGGTAATCTTTTTTTTTTTTCCCACAAATTTACTGTTTAAATATGAAAGCTTCAAGATTTTTTTTTTTCTCCAAAGGAAAAAAGAATGTTATTCCAATTCTGAGTACAAGTAAAACAATAGTGTCTGAACACGGGGTATTGATATGACTCAATGCATGTGATATATTATATATCAGGAAGAAGATTTTGTTTTTCTCCAAAGGAAAAAAGAATGTTACTTCAATTCTGAGTACAAGTAATACAATAGTGTCCGAACACAGAGTATTGATATGACTCAATGGATGTGATATATTATATATCAGGAAGAAGATGAAAATTTACTGCCAAATAGAAACCATTAGCTAGGAACAAAAATTGTTCATAAATGCCGAGGAGAACGAAAAATAATTGGGAACATTAATAAACGTGCACTTATTGCTTAGCTAGATTCTAAGTGGGAAGAAGGGATCACCTGCCAATAGAATCGAAGCCAATTTTCATCTATTATCTGATCGGAGCCGTCAATTTCCTTCCATTTCTGTGAGAGCATGTGAGCCAAATCAACTTCGCCATACTCTAGCACCATGTATATATATCCATCATCCTTAACCCTAGCATCTTTATGATTCGTGGAGCCATTCAACACATCCTGAAGTAAAGTCCTATCTGTTACCTAAAAAGAGAGGTTCTTAGATAATCCTGACATAAATGTACATGAATGACCGATAAATATTTCACAGTTAAGACACAAAATGATCAAACACCGATTCCATTTGATATCATTTTGGTTTTAGTTTTCTAGTTTTTATGAATTAAGTGTTACTAATGATTTCTTTCTTTCCAATTTAGTGTACCAAAAATGTTTTAAATGCATAGTCATGTTTCTGAAAGAGGAAAACTAAACAAGAAATTTTTTAAGCAAATACGTCTAGTTTTTAAAAATATAAACTAAATGTGAAAATGTATGAAATGGGGCCAAAGTATTTTGACTATTAGAAGCTACAAGGAAAAAATGTCAAGTGCCTTCTACGGTTTTACTTATGGCTCAAACGCCTAAAGCATGGGCTGAGATAGTAAGATGATCAACATTCGAACACTGAAAATGAGAGCTGTAAATATGAATGCAAAAGACATAAAAGATATCATGATGAAGATACATACCTCATAATCTACAAGTTGTATAATGTTATTCTTTCCTTTCAACTTATTTAAATACACAATCTCCTGACAGAACCCATAAGCAGTGGTATAATCACGACCTTTTAGTTTAATTTTCTTAAGTGCATATATCGTGCAATCTGATGAGATAACTTTGTGAACCTCACTGCTTCCTCCACTGCCTATCTTGCCAAGTCTTTGATAAAGCTTTCCATTAACCTTAAAAAACATGTCTGGATCATAATTCCTTTTACGAGTTGTTGATGTGTTCTTCCCACTTGCCACTTTTTCTTGTTTTTCTGAATCAGAGGGGTTCAAATTCACATCCGAAACTGCCTTTCTGTGTACTTGGGCCTTGGACTTTGTGTCAGTGGCGTCCCCTATGAAACATTTGCCTTCATATGATTTATCATCGTGTTGCAAAGAATGTTTCGAAATATCACTATCTCTAGCTAACTTTTCCCTCTGATCCTTAGAGATGTCATAGTTGCTTCTAACATTTTCTGTATTAGCAGTAAGACCCTGAGCATGTAGGGCATCATTGCCTTTACCATTCTTGACCTCGTCCGTAATGTCCTTTAGAGAAGATCCTGATGTTGGCAACACACTTCTTTTAGCTTCATGTTGAATATTTGCATTAAAGTCACTCAAAGGTTCGGTAGCAATACTACCACCACTTTCTTGATGCAAATGAGAGCTATAGGTCGTTGAATTAAGCATAAGCACTGAATTTGAGTGAACAGACGTGGTGGTTGCACAATGTGGATCAAATGAAGGTTGACTAACTGGTTGAGTCAAAAAGTCTTCAAATCGCTTGAGTTTTTCTTCCACAGCTGGCGTTTTTTGTGCCAACATTGAAACCCCACCATTGTTCTTCACGTTCATATCTGTCTCTGTGTTTGGGAAACTTCGGTGCTTACATTCACCATGATTGATGACACTATAAGCTTCTCCTTGGCGGCCGGCCATCCAATCCATCTCTGTCAAAGCAAGTGAACGCATATGAGATGATAAGTTTTCCAATCCACTTGCCATCAAATTTCACAAGTGCTTGTGGAATACCATTGAAGTGAAGGTAGGATATATTAACAAGCAAATATAGGAAACCAGTATTTACCCTGATATATCTTGTTGGTTTTAACAGAAAACCGAACCATTTTCTGACCATCAACATGCTGGGATCCTGTATTTAAAGCGGATGATGTGCTCCTTGATTGACAACCAACACCACGTACAAGTTCATCTCTGTGGGCATCAGATATGAAGCTTCCATCAAAGCTTTTGGTCATCAGGCCTGACATGGAAGGCCGCGTTATTGATTCATCTTGAGTTTCACCAATAATAGTCATTGTACTCTTCGTCTGTTCAATCAAATCCTTCACTGCATGATCTCGACTCACACTTTCTGCAAGCCTGGCCTCCGAACGTGGGTTCCTTGACACCTCTCTTTGGGGAACTAACAAGCGCCTGGGTCTTAAACTATTTGATTGCGTCACACCTGAAATTCCTTATAATTTGATTGTCATAATGGACCGAAGAACAACCATAAACCTAAAATCATTGGCGTGAGATCCTATATAATATTTCTCAAAGCTACACAAATCAAATTTCTTCCTGAGTAGTTAACGCATGTTCTTGATTCTAAAGAAACAAGGCGTTCCTGTCTAATTCCCCCAACCAAGCACGAAAGTGAAAATTATAACAGCTAATTTTTCGAGCTTCCGTACAATATTTGGCGAATAGACAGTAGAGTACAAGAAGAAATTCTTCCTACAGTAGCTCCAAATCAAGAGTGCATACATTAACACCAGCTCAATTATAACATATTCTAACACATTAAATTGTTATTAAACACATAAATACTCACCAAGTAGTTGATGGCGCTTGAAGGCGGCTTGAACATGCCGAAGGAAGTCCGGCGATGAGGAGGAGGAAGACGAGGTTGTAGTTTCTGAGTTTGTCTGACGGCTCACTTTCTTCTCAAGTGCGAGCGGGACCGGAAGGTTAGCCTCCCTGTCCATGGTCGGCTCCGAACGGCATTTCTGGATAGTGAAAAGAGAAGAACGATGAGGGAAGTGTTCTAATTATAGATACTTCGGCTCCGAACCATCTCGATCCAGATATTGGTGCGAGTTACAGAGGGAGGGAAAGAGAGGGAAAGAGAGGGAAACAGTGATTTTTGAAAGGATCGCTTTGAACTGTAGTGGGCTTTTTTATTGAGCCCATTATCTTCTAGACTTATTGGATAGAGCCCATCAAGGACTTGGACCGTACTTGGGCTTCTCTTAGCTCCAATGGGCCATTTTTAAAATTTTTCTTGCGCATATTTAAATATTTTCACCTAATTTATTTTTTATAGACAATTTTTATGTCTATTATTATTTAAAAATAATTTTAAATCATCCAAACTCATTATATTTTATTTCTTTAAAAAAATATTTTCTTCCCATTTCATGCTCTTAATCATACAAGAAAAGTGAACTTTTTAAATTATTCCAATCTTATCCTCTCCATAATTTGCTGTTGGGCATGGGAAACCACAATTTTCATTTTTTTTAAACCCTCTCACATTATGGTTTTTTTTTTTTTACTAATAATAATTGGAGGATAGTCCAGACTAATTTATGAAATAAATATTATCTCTATTGGCATGAGCCTGGCGAAGCCCAAAATAAAGCCAAGAATTTACGATCAATAAATATTATCTCTATTGGCATGAATCTATAGATTTTTTTTTAAAAAAAAAAAAAATTTAAGTAGGAGATATTTAAAAATAGAGAGAGGCATTTTCCACTAAAAAAAACAAAGCATAGGGGACCTTGCGCCTCTAAAATCAACGCCCACACACTGAAAAAGGTTCTTACAATTTCAAGGCAATGAATTTACGAGTCCCCATATCCATAGCCCCTAACCTCAAGAAGCTCCTCCTATCAACCTTCATCTTCATGTTCAGATCCTGAAAGAACAAGAACAAACCAAATCCTGTTTTCAGTGAAGAAATGGCATCTGCCATGGCCAAACCCAAAACCCAGACAAAGCTCAGCCGACAAACCCATGAAAACCAGAAACCAAAGCCGCCGTCTTGGGCGGTTGTTAGAGGCATATTCAGCTGCAAGTACCTGCAGCCTCAGCAGCCACAAGAAAAACGACAACAACAGGAACAAGCAACAGAAGAGAGTAGGAAGAACTGTAAGAAAATGAGGTGTTCCGGCTCACTCTGTAACAACACCAAGGTAACGCATGAAGTTCACAAGAACAGGGCATTATCTTCAAGTTCAAGTAGATACTCAAAAGCTCCCCCTTTGAACGAACAAAATGATATTCCATCAGCCATTTGTTCATCCTTATCTGCCTCGTCTTCTTCCAATTCCTCCAGCGGAGCCTCTTTCAGGGGAATGCCATTCAGAAAGTTCTACGGCTGCTATGAATGTAAAATGGTGATTAACCCTGTTAATGGGATGGCTAGAGACACTTTTCTTAGAGCAACCATTTGGCCCTGTTCTGAATGTGGTGAGGTTTTCATGAAACCTGAAGCTTTGGAGCTTCACAAGAGTGTTAGACATGCAGGTACTTCAATTTCGATCCCTTCTTTATCTGTATCAGTTCATAAGTTCTAAGCTTGTTTTCTTATTGCATGATTGTTTAGTGTCTGAACTTGGTCCTGAAGACACGAGCAAGAACATAGTGGAGATTATATTTCAATCAAGCTGGTTGAAAAAACAAACCCCAATTTGCAAAATTGAAAGGATTTTGAAAATCCACAACACTTCAAAAACCATCTCGAGATTCGAGGAATATAGAGATTCCATTAAAGGCAAAGCCATCAAGCTTTCAAAGAAGCACCCACGTTGCATAGCAGATGGTAACGAACTCCTGAGGTTCCATTGCACCACGTTGGCTTGCTCATTGGGCCTAAATGGCTCTTCTAACCTCTGTAGTTCAATCCCACAATGCAATGTTTGTAGTATAATCAAGCATGGGTTCAAGTTGGCTGCAGAGGCCCCTGGAGGGGACGCAGGGAAGGGTATTCTAACAACTGCTACAAGTGGAAAGGCTCATGACAGTGCTGGAATGTCATTGGACGGCAAAGACAAACGAGCAATGCTGGTTTGTCGGGTAATTGCTGGCAGGGTTAAGAAGAGTTCAGAAAGCAGCGTGGAGGATTATGACTCATTGGCCGGAGAAGCTGGCTTGTATTCCAATTTGGATGAGTTATATGTGTTCAGTCCCAAGGCAATATTGCCTTGTTTTGTTGTCATTTATGGTGGGTTTTAACTTTTAGCTGCCATTAACGGGTTTTTGTTGGGCAAGAGTTGTTTGATTGCCTCTGGAAGGATATGAATTTAATGGTATTCTATTGTGTTTCTTGTAAATTGGCATTGGGTGGGTACTGTTGGTGTCTTCGAGATGGAGATATCATTCCCACAACGAGAGGCATTGATCACGTTCATAATAGTATCACACTATCCACTTTGAGTATAAGCTCTCATGTCTCGTACCAATGGACATGTATTCCTTACTTATAAATCCATAATCATCCTCATAATTAGCCCACGTGGGACTCCCTTCCAACAATCTTTAACAATTGTCTCCTCAAACAAAATACACCATAGAGTCTCTCATGAGGCCTATAGAGCTCTTGAACAACCTCTCCTTAATTAAGACTAAACTCCTTTCTCTCGAACAAAGTACACTCCTTGTTTGACACTTGACTCACTTTTTTACTACACCTTTAAGGCTCTCAATTTCTTTATTTGACATTTGAGTATTCTATTGACATTAATAAGTTATGAGCATGACTCTGATATCACGTTAGCATAAACTCTCTTGACTTTGTTTTTAGTTTCTTAAAAATAACTCATACTAATAGAGATGTATTCCTTACTTATAAATCCATGATTATCTTCTTAGCCAACTCGGACTCCCTTCCAACCATCTTCAATATTAATATCCACAGTAAAAAAAAGAAATAAAGGGCAGCAGTACCTCCCCGTTCACGCCGGGCCTGAAAAAGGTGGAGCTGAAGCAGAGTATAAAATGGACAAGTGACTGGCGAGTAAGCTAAGTAGTGGGATATATGATTGCAACAGGAAAGCAACATAACGTAAGAACGGAATGCTTTCTTTTCAGACAAGAATCTGCCACTAACAGTTCTGCCGGAGACATGGCCTAGCTTATTAAAGCAAAACATTTCTAGAACATGGTCGATAACATATAAAATACTGAGTCTAGATCGAAAAAGAAGTGGGGAGAGAATTAGCAGACTCACGGGGTACTGTAAGTGCAGTTAGCCCTTGTGACCTTGTCGGGGCCCCAGCAATCATGTTGTTTGTTTTTGGAAAAATCCATTCTGTCCCGCTTGACTAAATGGGTGGTTGAATAGATTTTACGGCAGCAGTCAAGCTTCCACATTTCACATACTTGTGCACAGTGGCACTATGCATGCAGTTGGCATACATGAGTAAAAAAAAACGTGGGAATTATACATTCTTCTTGCAAGAATGTTCGTACAGTTTAATGAGAGGTACAAAGCGGGAAATTTTGCAAATTTGAACATGGAGAGGCTGGGGTGTTACTGTGTTCTACTTTTGACGTCTACATAGGAGCTCAACATGCACACATATCAAAGTTTCTTGGACTCCACAAGGAAATGAAGGGTCGTCTACCATGGACAAGGACCACAAGGTACCTTGATTGGGCAGAGCATTTCCAGAGCCGTTGCCTTGCCAATGTAGAGGATGTCTGAAATTGGCAGGAAGATAAAACTGACCTTGTTGGAGCTTGATATATAGTTTCAAACTGTTACTTTCTTTTTTACGTATTTTGAATTTAATTTTTATATAGTCCCTCAATTTCAAGATTTTTCCAGTTCTATCGTTTGAATTTTTATAGGTAGGAGCGTTCCAAGTAAAGAGAAAAAGGAAACAAGGAGGCTTGAAATTAAAATTTGGTCTCCAACTATGTAACTTTGTCCAAAATAAGGAGGCTCATTTATTTAATTAGGCAGATTGGTTCTAATGAGTTACAATAATGTGATAAACAAGTATGAAATTCTCCCAGCAAATTAAGCCAATAGATAAAGGGTTTGGAGTTTACATTCGCAGAGATCAGGCAGCTCCAACCCTATCACGAGGAATCAGGCGCAATTCAGAGCCATGCTTGAGGAACACATTGCCTGCAAAAGGCACGTCAACCATAAGTTTCAACTGCAAATGGAATATTATTATCGCCTCAAGCTTCACTGAGTTGCCTCAGCCCTAAGAATATGTATAAACAAATAGTAATATCAATGAAGAAGTTCAAATTTTATACTAACATAAACAAAATGTTATCTCATGCTTGAGGAAGTACCTCGTAGGATGTAATCCGGGAAGAATAAAAGAAGATATAAAATCTGATTTTGAGTTTTAAAGGAGCCTCTTAACATTCCAGATGGGGGTTAAAAGAAGAAGACAATATCAATAGTTCTGTTTTAGCTACAGCAAAATGGTGGTGGATTTGGTTGACAAATTCAAACACCTTGTCACCAGTTACAGAATCACCTTGTAACGATCCAATCCTACCACTGGCAGATATTGTCCTCTTCTGACTTTTCCCTCTAGACTTCCCCTCAAGGTTTTAAAACCAGTCTACTAAGGAGAGGTTTTCCACACCCTTGTAAGGAATGCTTCGTTCCCCTCGCCAATGGGTTTCCCCTCAAAGTTTTAAAACACGCCTACTAGGAAGATGTTTTCAGACCCTTATAAAAAATGTTTCATTCCCCTATCCAACCAATGTGAGATCTCACACACCTCCAGCCATATATCATCATGGAACTTGAGCTTTTTTTTTTTTTTTTTAATCTGTTTCTACATTAGGCAGTTCAGCACATGCTTCTATAGTTGGGAAAGTTTAAATAACATGAAAAAATTAGCAGAACGAAGCAAGGACAATAAATTGTAGAGTTTAAGAATTGGGCCATGAATCAGCTTACCAGCACTTTGTTGAGGATTTATTCCAACGCCATCTGCAATCATTTGAACCATGTTAGACATATAAAATGAGAGGCTAAATGATTGAAGTGATACCATAATATCAGCACATCTAAACGCACATGTTCAATTGGATTCTTAAATCTTTCCCGCAGAAAATTAATTGTGCATAAAGCATCTCCCATCTAACAGCGTCAATTCTATCAAATATTAAAATGACTAACAAGGACAGAAACATGACCACAGTCCATATCTCGTAGTTTACAAACTCTAAAGCACAATCTCTGACCCATCTTCTGCCACAAGATATCAGTGAAATCATGAAAAGGCTGCAGATAATTAGTTCAAGCTTCAAGCAGTAGCAAGATTAGCTCAACTATTCGCAAGTTCAAAGGTGTCAGTTTTTCTTTTTATCTGGGAAGAAAGGCGTAGGAACTTCTGCTTCAATATTAGTACTCGTAAAGTAAAAACTACAATTAAGGGAATTCTCTCCGACATAAAAACCAAAAAAAAAAAAATCACAAGCACATCTCATAACAGGATCAAAGATATGAAGGCACAATGTAGGCAAGCTTGACTAACATCAAGGATTACCTATAGCATAATAATAACAATCTCCAAACATGTAACATTTTGTATGACTGACATCCAATTTTTCTGATATTAAACTACTGTCGACGATCTTTTTGATACTCGAAGCTTCAGACCAATCAATTCCAAATCAGAAACAATAATATACCTTGAATACAAAAGATGATGATGATGGAAATCCTCCATCAATGAAGTAATGTGGACAGGTCAGTGAACAATTTATGTTTTCCAACAGGAAACAACCCAACCTTTCATCAAAAGAGAAAGGGCAATCCCAGCAATCTGAAGTTGAAAGAGGAGATATTGGAGTGTGACAAAAAAACTAATACTGACACAATCTCCACACATCCAATTACAAATGCTCGTTTCTAAAAAGAAAAGACTTTACGCTTAGTGCGATTGAGGGCACGCCAACCATCTCTCAAGGAACTCAACGCCAATTTTCATTTCTAGAACCACACGTATCGGTGATCGGAAGATCTCAAATAGTTAATTACAAAGAAATTTCACGCATGCAGATTCCAATCACAATCGAATCAAAATTCAACGAATAAATCAACACGGAGGTAATCAATTACCATTGGTGATGATGGCGCTAGTTTGCGGGGGCACCTTAAATTCTTCAGCGGCAAATTTGAGGACAGCGGTGAAGGGCGCGGCCTCTGGAACGCTAAACCTGAGAGACAAAGAAATCGAAAAAACGATGAGATTGGATCTTAATACTGGGCAAGGAAAGAGGAAAACCCTAGGAGCTTAAAAATCAAGTGTTTAAGATTACGAACACTTTAAATGGGAGCTTGGGGTCTGAGGTGAGAGTGACTTTGAAGGAGACCTTTCCGCCGCCGGCACCCGCCATTTTCGAGCTCTGTGATGTGATGAAGGTTGAAACTCGTTGATTTTGGAGGAGATTCTTGTATGAATTTTATAGGTACGGCGTGCAAATTCGTCCGATATTGTATTTAAAGCTTTGATTATTATTTTTATTATTATTATTATATATATATATATATATACATGTTAGTAGTAAATGAGTAATAAAAATACTTGTAAATTTTGCCCTATATCTCAACCTTCACATATAATATAACAAAATAATAATAATAATTTAATAATACCGTTTAAACCTTCAAAATATATTTTAAATTTTAAAAAAATTTAAAAAGTTTTTACCATTATTATTTTAGAATCAAAGATTATTATTTTTCATCTACATATTCACATTAGACTTGAAATATACAATATTAGAAATATTATTTATTAATGAAAATTTTAAAAGTTTAATAACATTTTTGAACACTTTTATAGGTTTAAAATATTTAAAAATAAATTATCTACCGGTTAGTATTTTTTTTAAATGTGAGGATATTATTAAAAAAAATTAACCGTCATAAATATTTTTTTTTAGACAAAATGTAAAATTTATGGATATTTTTATTAATTTAACCTAAAATGTATATAATTTTTTAATGTCATATTTGATATTAGCTAAGTATTAGAAAATTTTGATTTATACTCCTAAATTAAATTCATTAAACTATAGTATGTTAATTCCTATAATTACTAATTCTAGGTATTTTAATAGATTTTTTTTTCACTTTATTTAATATAATTTTAATGATTTTTACTCCATTCTTTTTTATTCCAATTATTTTAAAATTTTAAAATTAAAATTAGTCTGAATCTATTTTAAGTTCCATTTTTGTTAAACTCGAAAATAAATTTCTATTAAAAAAAAAAATACAAGTCAAATTAAGAAAAAAAAATTGATGAGCTAAATCACAAACACAAAATAAATAACTAAAAATAAAATACATAAACAATATGAAAATCACGTAGCCTCAACGTTAGAAAATAACCGACGAATTAATGAGAAATAGAAAAGCCGCCATTAGAGCCCACCATCCTCCGCCCACGAAGGAT